ATAGCTCCTCCTGAGCTTTCCTCCTTTTCTATTAGTCCTATTTCAATGCATTGCTTTCTCCACTCCCAACTCCTAGAATATACTCAATAAGAATGACCGCATTATATGATAAGGCACACCACACATTATACACAATGAGATTCCATTGGTACAAGTAGCCCTTTTCAATTTCCTTTTATTAGCTTTATAAACAAAAATTAGTTGTCACTTTCTTAAGACAAACAGGAAAAAAGGGGAAGAGGGAGGGAAGGCAAGGATTTAATCTTTAAATAAATTATCACTAATCCATAACCAAATGAGTGGCCCTTGAAATTTAATAATCTTTCCAAACTTACAGCAGTTTTTTCTCAGTCAGTACTTAAGTTCTTGGTCTAGACCAGATCATATTTTGGCCTGCTTCTTTAGAAATCTGATTAGCACAGTGATTGATCCAAATAATTGATTGTCTAATCTTAAGAATATTACCCTTTGACCCATAACTCAATTTCCTTTTTTGCTCAGAATCCTTTCATTTAATTCCTTAATTTGGGCAACAGGGAGAATTTTTTTCAGATGTACAAAGTTCAAACTTTAAAAATTGTTTAAAGTAGTTCTTTTAAAAAAAATTGATGCTTTTTAAATATCATACTCATATCTTGAAATGTCTCCCTGGATTGTCTTCCATTTTAACAAAGGAAATTAATTAAATATAACTGACCAAAATTGTGACTATACCTATCAAATTATAAAAAAAAAACCAAACAAATTGTCATCTGTTGTCCTCCCAATCCCTTAACAGGAGAGAGGCATGTCTCATCAGTTGTCCTCTGACACTAATCAAGTCAAGTCAACAAGCAATTATTAAGCACCTACTGTGTGCCCTGTACTGTGCTAAGCACTAGGAATACAAAGAAAAGCCAAACCAGTCCCTGCTTTTAAGAAGCTCCCAGTTTAATGGGAAAGCAACATGTAAACAACTATATATAAACAGGATAAATTGGAAATAACACAGGAAATGTTTCTTGCAGATGAGATTTAGCAGATGCTCAGAGGGAGGCAACGAATGTAAGAATCAGAGACGAGGTGGGAGAGAGTTCCAAACATGGAGGACTGGAAGATGGAGTGTTGTGTTTGAAGAAGAGCAAAGGACATTGTCATAGGAATGCAGAATATATGGAAATGGTTCAGGTCTAAAGAGAATGAAAACAAAGTACAGGGTCAACTTATGAGAGGCTTTAAAACTCAAACAAAGGATTTGCTATTTGATATTGGAGGTAATAGGGAGTCACTGGAGTTTATTGAATTGGGAGTTGGTGGTAGTGTCGCATTTGATCCAAGTTCAGCCTTTAATGTCACTTTCATTCTCAGTTTTGGTATGATTGTGTATGTATTTCCCTAATTTTTTTTTCCTTCACTCTGCATCATTTCGTACCAAGTTTTCACGTTTCTCTCAATTTTTCATATTCATTGTTTTTTGTGGTGCAGTTTACACACTGCAGTTTTATCAGCTATTCTTAAATCTATGGGTGCCCATTCTGTTTCCAGTCATGCTCTCACACACACACACACACACACACACACACACACACACACACACACAC